ATGAGCACAACATGCTGGGAAGGGGATGGAAGTCAGCTCCTTGGGAGTCCCCTCCCGGCACAGGGATGCTGCAGTTAGCTGGGCTTGCAGTGGGTCTTCAACCAGAAGTTGGTTTCTTCCAACATATTTCAAGCGGAAATCTGGTTTCCCAGATGGATACAGGTGCAAGGAGTTAACCCTTTGGTTGCTAGCATGCCTGCAGAATAGCTCAGCAGTTTTGGGCAGGACAGGCTCACTGCTGGAAAATGTGCAGGGTGGTAGGGAATGGGCTGAAAGGGACCTAAGCAGGTCCTGCACCGTAGAGAGATACTTTCTTCCTACAGCATCCTCTGTGCAGTGCGTGGTGCTGCCCATAGTGCTCCCTGAGACCAAAAAGCATGGTCTAGTGGAAGGTATTCCTGCCCATGGCAGGGGGGTTGGAACTAGATGATCTTAAGGTCCTTTCAAACCCACACCATTCTATGATTCTATGATTTGTGTTTTGTCTCACCATGGAAAGCACGTGGTCAGGGTTGCTCTGCTTTCAGCCCTCCACGTCCAGGCATTACCCAACACATCAGATCCTTTGGGCTCGCACTGTTCTAAGTGTGCACATTTGTCATTACGTCACCAGGAAATATATTCACTGCTGAAAGGGGCGATGGTCCCTCTGTGTGTGGTATGGCAGAGACCTCCATAGGATGGCTGAGGTTCGTGGTGGAAGGGGGAGACAGCAAGAGCATCCTGTTCTTGGCAGAGATGCTGGGCCAAAAAGCAGGAGACACTGCAGGGAAGAGGAGTTCAACTACTGTTTGCACTACCCTCTAAAAACTGTGCCCCTCTCAGCCAGTCCCCAGCCCTTCCACCAGCCACAGGCTCATCCATCCCTCTTCCACCGAGAAGCACATCATTCCTCCATCCAGAAATCCCACCGTGCCTTGTATGGCAGCATAAAACCCAGTGGAAACTGCTGGCACCAACCCACCCTCCAGTGAAAGCAACAAGTCATAAATCCTCTCACTGCAAAGTGAGCAGCAGCCCCCAAAAAACAAGGCACAGCATGTGTGCCAGCTGAGCCAGGAGCTGTGCGCAGTTAGGAATGGGTGGGTTGGATGGGCACTGTCCAGGCTG